TGGTTTTGACTAAAATTCCAAGGTAACAGTCGCAGACTAAACCCATGGACCGTGAAAATTGACTGCACTTACACCACAGCTGCTCAGAGCTGGATAAACTGACGGCAAGCCTAAATGACAGAACAGGACCCGAGATGACAGTTCAAGCAATTAGAAACAACGGTTCTGATCTAAGCAGCTACTGTTTTAACAACCAAAAATAATAAATTCTAATTTAGATACAATTGACCTTTCCAGTCCGGGTTTGGAGGTGCCAAAAATGTTACAGATGAGGGGTTCAAAATTGAACTGTGACAAATGGAACGAAAATTGTGCCCTCGACGAAGCGAAGCTGATTGGCCTGTACGTGATTCTGATTTCAGCCTCTCCTTTTGCAGGCAGAATTCCTAAAGTGAGGGTGAAGGATAAAATGGGGAATCATGCAAGCAGTCTAGTGAGAAAATTAAAAAAAAGTATGTTGAACCGTGCTACCTAATAAGACAAGAAACTCAGTGAACAGTTGAGCAATCATTTAGCTCGAAACAGTAGCATATTTCCGGAAAAAGTTAATGGAAGGAAATATATAAGTTTACTATCTGAGAGCCGAAGTGAGGTCAACATATCTTAGGCCCTTGACTTAACGAGGAGGAAGCAGCCATTCTACATGTTTAATGTGTAATATTTTTGGACAAAAGAACAGTATGGAATAGCAATTGGTAGCCAACCTCCTTTCAACAACAAAACCTGGCCTGAAGAAAGATTGAGAAAAACAATGCTCATCGGTTTTCAGGAGCCCTCATTCTGCCGCCTGAAGAGCTTAGGATTTTTCTATACTATGAATGTTTTTCATAGCATGAAATATAAGGTATTTAAGCATATCAGTTTCGGTTCGAATTTCAAATAATCAGATGACTCTAGTAAATGACTTTAACATAAACCCGATACGGAGTTGTTTGAATGGGCGTAAACTAAAACCGCATAGGTTTGCGCTGTAAAAATCCAAACAGACACGTCAATCTGTTGGTGCCTTATTTTAATCGCCAGTCAAAGCGTATAACTTAAACTTAAAATTCTCATCTCAAAACTGCAATAATCTATTACGTCATGATATGTTGTGAATTAAAGGTGACGCGAATTTGGGAATATAACTGCTCGAACTAAAACTTTAAAAATAAACGGGAAATTTGAATATTTTTAGGTAAATAGAAGCAATCATTTGAGATGGTAACAGTAATTTTGGTCGCAAACAAAAAACTATTATATCACAGAAACCAGTCTTCAAGGCAGAAATAATCCAGAAAATCGGTTGGCAACAGTCTTCACATAAAATATGGGACCTGAAGTATTCGCGGAGTTTTGTTTACCAATATAAACAAGGATGCTATTTCTAATTTGCTCAAGGTAGAATGCAAAACAGAACTGAAGGATAATCAATAAAACCGGCCGAGTTTCTTCAATCTTTACAGTTAATGTATTTTCAATGAGAATTCGTGCCTTTGCCATCTACGAATAGGGTGATTTTAGTCGTAAGTGTGGGATATATGCGACAAATTTAACTGAAATGAAGTAGCTGCGATCGCTGACTGCTTCGGATTCTACCATTTTCAGAGACGGCATGAAATAAGGCTAATTCGCATGCAGTGGGTTTCAGTATTAAGTTCTACGAATTAGTTTTATCTGGTGCTGTCTCTGAAGATGATTCAAGCGGGAATCCAAAAAGTCAGGCAAATAAGGTTCTCGTTTCAGTGATCTCGTCTACTCCCTGAGATTCGCACATTGGCTTGTATGGAAAAGTTTAAAGCCTACACCCTTCTGCGTAATTGTTAAATACAGGTTTAAAAGAGTCCAAAGCAGTTTGTAGAATGTAGAATGGAGGATAAAAGGTAGGTAAGTAAGCATTATTCCGAATTCGAGCCTGCCTAACTACACAGAGGTTTCCACAAAACTTGCCAATCAACTGACCTTGAAGTGGATTTATCTCGAGAGCGTAGGAGCCCTGAATCACGTTTATGTTAAATTGAAACGCAACGTCGCAGCTTGAATGCAGTGGAATAACACATGTGCGTCTAAAAATACAAATAAAAAATCAGACGAAATCATGTAATTGCCAAATCTAAAAGTGAACACAAGAAGGTAAGAACAATTATAGAATTGCAATTATAAAGGTACAGGAAAAGGGAAATCAAACAGACATTAAATTACTGATTACAGTAATAGATGAATATTAATTAATAATTATGAGAAGTTTAATCACAAACACAGTTTTTCCCACAATCCACAGAAAACTGGACTGAGCGATTTCAGATCGTCCGAATTTATAGCGAAACCAAGCGGAGCTAAGGTACGAGTCTGTTAGTCTTTCACTCACTATCTTGACCGTAACAGCGAACTACTTAGAACCCTCTAAGGCATACTTGGGGATACAACAGAAAGAAAAAATTGCTAGGCCCTTTCAAGATGGAAATACATTTTTACCGAATTGAAAGTGCAAACAATTAATTATAATAATATGCCCACATACGTTTGTCCAACTTCAGTTGGAGGAAGATGAATGTTTTTCGGAATTTGGAGGTTCTCAATGGCCGGATAAGCCAAAAGAGGAATGATCAAGTTGTTATCTCCCTGCAAACAGTAAAGGCAGTTAGCCATACATAGTACAAATAAAGTATTATAAAAAGACATCCTGCCCAATACTTACCATTGTATGAATGTAAAAAGCATCCTGATAGAATCCGGGTTCAGAGGCCGCAAAAGAAACTTTGATATTAAAAGTTTTTCCCGGAACAAATACTGCCTAGAAATTAAATAGACGGCGATAAGCATAAACATGCATAAATGGTCGAAACGTGGTAAAATTTGTCAGGGGCTACGCAGGAGTAATTTTCTGCTGTTATTTGGAAGGACTACACAAATATGCATGCATATTTAGTGTTTATTTTTTAAAATAGGAATAAAGGAAATGCCTTCATATTCAAAAAAGAAATGTACTCCGCCTGAAAATTCTTTAAGCCAGTTATTTAAACAAAACATTTCAATTACTGGCCACTCAGTTTCTTCATAAAACATGAAATACAGACTAGTGTACTAATTCTATAGAAGGTTTAAAATGCACTTTGCACTAAAAACACATATGAGCTAATATTTACACAAATTCATCGACATCCACATCTTTAGATGCATCTGTGAAATAGGATCTCGGAAAAAATAATGAACTGCAGTTTCTAAATTCATCGGTCATACTTCATAAATCTTAAAGTAGTAAGCTGCAATTTTGAAGGAAGTACTGTGTACCGTATCAGTGAAAATGCTTTACAAACATCCAGAGATTGCTCGAAGCTACTCCTGATGTAGAAAGAATCACTTTTAACTTTCAGACAAAACGCTTAGCAACTGTGCTAGTTCATTTTCGCAGCAGATTTAACCTTAACATGTTATCACAAGAACAAATGCGTGTGCTGAAACAAATGTATAGGGTCAATAACTTTTCGTCGACAGATTCCAATAGTGTGAAGATGACCTGCTTTTCTCAAAACGCTATACATATGTAGGGACACTGTCCTTGAAAAAAAACTGATATGGTCAACAGAGACAATCCTGATATCATTAAATATTTAACAATATCAAAGTTGTCTCTGTTGACCATTAATCCCCAGTAATCCACTTTCATATGCTTATGGATATGAAAGTGGATTAATATCACAATGCACAGACATAGCTTGGATGCCTTTTCTCATGAAATATCAACCGAAATCATGAAATATGTTTTTGGTTCGTACAACATACTTAAATAGTGTTGTAATGCTTATTATTGTGCAGCCCAATCTCAAGATGTTCCGAGCACGAAAGGATGCCAACTTTTGAACGAGCTTCTTTTTGATCGCGATCAGAAAGAATAAAATTAAAAATTATTCAAATAGCATGCATTTTCATGACTGATTTTCAGTACTCTAGCTCATACATTCACATGACTTTGTTAGATAACATCCCAGGTTCAGTTAACCTATAAGTTGACTGAACCTGGAATGTTATCTAAAAAAAACGATAAAATCATAGCTTAAAGCGAACTGAGAAGTTCAAAACTTAGGAGTTTCTAGCGGGGATAGCACAAAATGTTTGAAAAGAAGATGCAATTTTACAGGCATTGTATATTCAATCCGAAAGAGATCACTATTCGGCGGAATGACGTGAATTCTTGTGGTTTCATCCGAAACGTTGGTTATTTTTACATTCCTAGTTTGAGTAAAAATTCGATGTGGTTGGCACTGGCTGGTGAAGGCTGATTTAAGATGCACTTCTGCTGGTTGAACATTTACAAAATTATTGCTCCCGAGGCACCTAAAACTGTCTGTTGATATATTTAAAATAAAAAGCAACATTACGATTGTCAAGTATTTTGTTGTGCAGGGCAGATTTGTTTTTCAGGCTCTCGCTTTCGACAAAACAGTCTAGACTTCCAACCTCCAACCGTCGACATCTGTTCAAAACAGCCATTCGATTTTATTCTACGCGGTATTTATCCACTCAAGGCCGTTGCTTGCACTTATGGGTTGTTTGACAAGTTTCAATGAACATTTTGGGTAAGGACCATGCAAGGAGGTACTTGATATAATTTAGATAAATGTATTATCCGAATAGTTAACATTGTGGTTTTATTTTTTGGTTTAGAATAGGTAAACAAAAAGTGGTAGTTCTGAAGGTTCACAGGCTCATGGTAACAAGCCCGGTCAAGGATAAAGCATTCGCACGCCTGGCGACATGCAGATAGATCCGCATATTTAATAGTATTTTTTCTGATAACTTTGCAAGCACTTATATTAAGGCTTAATGATTGAAGCCTCGGCGCTGCGTCAAGTTTCTGAACTTACTTCATATATAGCGGTACCCGTTGATATACAGAAATACTAACCATAATAGTGGGTGAAATTCGAGAATCAAGCATAGGAATTATAGAATGCTTAAGTCACCCGTTAGCTTAACCATAGACGTGACCTACGTAAACCATTCACGTACTTGAGTGGTCACTTGCATCGCAAGGTTTGCTTGTCACGTTGCTTAGCAGAATATTCGAACGCAAGGAGTCGGACAAATTCATATACTGTGAGGAATGCCTCGAATACGACTAAGTCATCACTAAATATGGGAATAAGTAAACCAACAAAGACTGCAGATTTGCGTCATCAGATAAAATCTTGTACATGAGCTCCAATTTGTGTCGCTCCAATTGTGATACGTTTGATTGATATATTTATTTATTGCCCTTTTACAGGAAATTTTAGAACATTGGGCGCTGACAGTATACTTAGTGTTACACTAAGTACAAACACAAACCAGTTACCAGCAAAGTACCTTCGACTGAAACGGAATGATACCAGATGTGAACTGAGAAGTATAGGCAGATTTAGGAATAATTTGACGAACTCCAGACACCTTTCTTTTCACGAAATTCCGTAAAGAGCATGAAAAATGAAAATGCTGACGAGCGCTAGGTTAGAAAATTTTCGAATTAGATCTTAGCCCCCGGTGGCAAGATCATATGAAAACAATATGTAATAAATATCGATGTTTTGAGATACTCTGGAATCGGTGAAAGTGGGAAGCAATGCACTATGAACGCGTTCTTTTATTTAAACGCTGCCCTTATCTTCCTGTATTCCATTTTATTTTATCCCTGCCCTCCCATAGTAACCTTCTTTATATACATAAGCCTGATACTCAGTTACTGCATCAAAAGTGTACGCCAACTGATGCATGGTTACAACAAGGACAGTCAAGTTAGGGATAACATATTGTCAATTGAGGAAACATTGGAAGATGTTAATATTTTATACAATATATAGTACAATCGGGTATCTGCAGAGTTCTTTGTGGAAATAGATGATTCTCTGTCGACCTTCCCGGGTTTTCCTTTACAAGCCAAGAATAATCTTAAAACATTATTTAAATTGTCTTGCTTATAAATTGGTTGCGACCTTGACTTTTGTGCACTCTCTTGCACTCTCTTGTCTGGTATTCTCTTCCCTTAGAGCTCTTACTTATATTAGTCAGCCTGCAAACATGGACGGAGAAAACTCATTTCATCCAGAAAACATGAATTGGAATCGTCAGAAAACACTTTCGAGCTGAACTTTTAAAGGTAATTTTGAGCTCTAATTAATCCGGTCCATTTCTTACCAACATGTGGTAGTGCAGTCATGTAAGCTCTTGAGCACGTCGACTACGCTTCCGCACGAAGAACCCATAAGTAGGAAGGTATAGGCAGCGAGGACTTCACAACTCTATTGGTTAACTGAATATCTTATCTGCGGTCCATGGTGAAGGAAAATTATATGATAACTCACTGAATATATCTCCATTGAAGTCCCGATAAGCAGAGCGGATGGGTTAGTAAGTACCAGAGGTCCATCCATGAAGGAGCAGTGGACAAGATATTATATGATCATTTTTAGTTTTTGTCCTCTTAATTCAAAAGCTATCTCCAATGTCTCATTAACCGACTCTGGGTACTATGCCCTGAAAATAATATATAATGAAAATGCCCTTCGTCATGAAGTCTTTGCGAGGATAATTACAAATATTCTGGGGGAAAGTCTTCAAATTTGGCTAGGCCAGATGTTGAAAAGGAGGAACCATTTTTTAAAATGTTTTACCGAGGAGGACCGATAACTTAATTGCCATCTTCAGTTCAGTTCAGTTTATTGATGGAATAGGTATAAAGAAGCAGTTTGGGTTGAAAAGTTCAAAGAGGATCTGTTATTTCCATTTGAACAATTTGGAAATTCTCCACGTCCATTTCCAGTGACTTCCTGCTAGACCGATTCCACTTGTTTCTCTCTTACGAAAGGCTGTTCCCCCTTCGTCTGAACTGCGTGCCCAAGTCTCCTTCCTTCAAGAATTCTGTTCCTTTTGACCTCTTTTTTTTCCATTTGACTGCACACTGGTGTTAAACCTAGTCCCCCGGCCAAGTACCACTTACGTGGCGCTTGAATATTGGCCCCACCCCCCGTTTGGCTCTCTTGCCTTTTAACCACCTTTGCCCACAAGTCCTGCGGCCCCCCACGGCAGCAAGAAACAACTGTTTCAACAGCTATTCGGTATTGACTCCCCCTCCTCCTCTGGTTAGTTTACAGCTGTCACCGCCGCTGACCTCAAAACGCTTGCAATTCCCCCCCCTTGCCGGCACAGTGTGGTCTCTGTTCGCGTCACCCCCCCTTTCGCGCTGGAGTTTTCAGACCAATCCCGAGGCCATAGGAATGGCCTCCTGGAATCATATAAAACTAGAGCCACGCTTCCCCTCCCACTAACACACACAAGCTTTCCCAAGACAAGTTTCGCCCTGCATTGCGTTATTGTTGAACTTGTGTTATTCCCTTGCATAGAGCCAGA